AAATAAAACATTTATTTTGGGCCCTGTGGCTCAAGACACTGGGGCTGGTCAGAACTGTGGTTGTCTTGCCTCTGGCAAGGTGTACTAGAGCTGAGTCCTCCCTGCAGGTCCAGCCTGGCAAGGCCACCCCATTCTTATAAGCCAACTCCTACCCTTGTCATGCTGGCACCCAGCCTCCTCCTGCTCCTGAGCCAGAGCAGAGACCCTTGCCAGGCCAAATACTTGCTTAATCTCCCCAGCCCCGTGCCAGCTGCAGGAGCCAACTCCAGCCCCGCAACTGCACAGCAGTTGTGGCGGGCTGCACCCCCCCCCACACCACCGCGCAGGCGGCTCACGCCCTGCCTCAGCCACGCGTGAGGGGGCTGCAGTTTAAGCCCCAGTTTCGGTATGTTCCTGCAGTTGGCAAGAGCCCTTGGGCAGGTCTGGGAGCTGCTTTTCCAGCTGCACACCCCTCACTAGAAAGGCCTCTACCCATGCTGCAGCAATCAAGGCCACCACCTCCTCAGGCAGCCTTTGCACAATTTCAGGCCAGCACAGGACCAGCAAAGCAGAAGCACAGCCAGACACGGCCAGCTGGACACCCTGGCAGCCAGCAGCAGAGATGCCTGGCTGCTCACAGGTCATGCACACTCAGGCCAGCATACCACCTCCATCCATGCCTTCAGCTGAGAAATAAGACTGGCCCACCACCAACTAAAAGATGCCCAGCCACTCTGCTTTTCCTTCTGCTCCTCTCCGCTCACAGAAGACAACACAAGCAGATTACGTCTAGCCTTTATTAAAAGGAAAGTTATAAAAAGAGGTTCAGGAGCTCCCAGCAGCTCCACGTTAGTAGTAGTGCAAACCATTGGTTAGAGAAAGAATCATTCCTGCAGAGATGTCGAACGCCATTTGGCTTTGCATCCACAAAAAGGACGTTTTCCCAGCTGCAGTCCTGCCGTCTCGAGCAGCGGCCCAGGACAGAGCAGGCTGCCAGCTCAGAGAAAGTCTCCTCTCCTTCAGCTGCATGGATGGCAAACGCAGGTCCCAGGGGCATCCCGGTCATGACGGAGCAGAAGCACAGGAGGGTGGATGCAGCTGGCATTCTAGAAGAGGCACTGAAGGGTTACCAGGTAGCAGCTCAGACACTAGCCATGTTCATCAAGAGAAATTCCTTTGTGAGAACAGATAGCTCCATTTCAAACTAGAGCGTCTCCACAGAGCAGCTGGAGGATGACACTCAGTCACTCCTGCAGCAGACACTGCTCCCCCTTGAGCTGCTGTGAGAACACCCCAGGGGGCTCTAAATGGGGTAAAAGCCCTCTGCCCACAGTTGACCTTGCGGCTGCTCAGAGGCTGCAGAGCTCTGAAGGAAGCAGTAAGAAATGCTTATTATATAAAAGAATTTGGCCTGTGTTTTCTTCTGTTTTTCCCCCTCCCCAGGCCCTACTAATGGCAGGGCTCCTCAGCTAGTAATCTGCACGGGTATCTTCCAGCAGAACAACATCTGGTCCTGGTCATCCACCAGCTCCCACTTCACAATGAGTTTAATCTAAAAGAGAGAGAAGAGAAGAGGGAAATGAGAGTGTTCAGGAAACCATAAGGCAAGGACACGGGGACGGGAGTTATCACTTCTGTGGAGCAAGGAGGTCCTGGGAGCTCTGTGCAAAAAGGACAGAGCTGGGGCATTGCTCCCACTGCAGCAGGTGGGCCATGCTCATGCAGTGACTCCTGGAATATCTTACACAGATGGAGGGTTCAGTTGTGTGACATCGGAGACCTCCACACATTGCACTGGGATCCCCACTCTCTGAGTAAGCAGAGAGTGGAAACACCCTGCAGCCTCCTGGCTGAACTGCACTCTGGAGGCGAGCACTCCCAGTTTGGGAGCATTTGGCCGAATGCAGCAGGCTCTGCAGGCAGGCATAGCACAGGAGGATACGTGGGGCAGCTGAGGCCACTTCTTAGCAGCTGGAAGCAGGCCACTTCCTCTGCTGAGTCTGTCCCAAAGCGGGAACTTGAAACAAGAGTCAGGCTCACAGCAGAAGTGCCACCAGATAATCCAAGGAGTTTTCTCATCTCTTCCCCACCACCACAGGACCTTAAAGACAGGTGGTGGGACTGTCCCAGGAAGGGCAGCTGCTCTGAGGAGCAGACCAGCTGCCTGCTTACTTACACTGGGGTACTCGCTCTTCACAGGGAGTTTATTCAGGTAGCTGTAGGAATGGCCCTTCTGAATGGGGCACTGGATCCCAGACTTGCATCCATCAGGCTCAGGAATGGGAAAGGGAATGTCCACGTGCAGCATCTCACCGTACACCCTCGCTTTGCTGCCCTGGCTCTCAATCTCTGCAGAACACAGAAGCGTGAGCACGGCACCGGGGCGGGGAACGCATTCCTACCCTACGCCCTCCCCTCCACACACTCTGGAGGCTGCGAGAACACAACTAAGGGACACTCTTCCTCCTCCAGCCATTTCTTCCCACCCAGACCCCTCTCCAGCCACCCTTCCCCACTTATCTCCAAGCAATGGGATGCAGAGGTCACCACCCCCCGGCACCCCAGCCGGGGAAGCGATGCTTACTGCTGGCGAAGGTGACGTTGATGCTGTAGGATGTCCCTTTGTGGAGCTGGCAGGGCTGCGTGGGGCAGGGGCTCACGTTCACCTCTTGGATGCTGCCGTCTTTGGAACCTGCAAGGAAGAGCCGGGCTTAGCGGGCCTTCTC